AAAAAAAAAAAAAAAAAGCTGGATATATAGACAAAAAAAAATAATAATAATAAAAAAATAATAAATTAAAATGAGAGTTGTTGTTTTATTATTAGCATTTACACTATCTTTTGCAATAATTTGCAATTGTGTTAGCTCTCAAGATGCCACATTGGTGCCTGCTTTGATCACTTTTGGAGACTCAGTTGTCGATGTGGGAAATAACGACTACATACACACCATTTTCAAGGCTAATTATCCTCCTTATGGTAGGGATTTCAAGAACCAAGAAGCTACTGGAAGGTTCTGTAATGGAAAATTGGCCACCGACATTACAGGTAATTTTTTTTTTAAATTTTACTCGGAGATTCTACGATCCCGTTACGGACCCATTAGAATCCACGAGAATTACATGACGATCTTTACAAAATCTCATAGAATGATTTCGTAACAGGACTGTAGCATTTCCCCATACTTTACTTCTAGTTGTACATTGTCCATTTTGAAATCTCAAGAATTCCAGTCCAAATATACTACTCCCTCCTATTTTTTTAAATGTCATTCTAGCTTTATCAACTATTTGCTAAATAAATGTCGTTTTGGATCTTTTGTACATATTTTTCCATTATTACCCTCATGTAGCTAATGTAATAAATACATTACGTCTTTTCATATTCACTCTTCACTTTTTCTTCAAAACATTCATCTTTATCTTCATTAAATAAGGGTATTATTGACAAAAAAAATATTCTTAATTAATATGCAACTTCTCAAAACGACATTTATTAAAAATAGAAGGTAGTATTTAATATGGTAGTGTGTATTAATTTATCAATAGATGATAAACTAAAGGGTCATTTTGCAAACTTCCTTAATCCGAACTCGTCTCGTTAACCAAAGTTTCGGTTATTTGCAGCCGAGACCCTCGGATTTACGAGTTACCCGCCGGCTTACCTGAGCCCACAGGCATCCGGCAAAAACCTTCTCGTAGGCGCCAACTTTGCCTCCGCTGGTGCGGGATATGACGACCACACATCCCTTCTAAGCGTAAATAAATAAAAAATAATTAAATAAATAAATAAGTCTAATTAAAATAATTATTTTTTTTTCTTTTTATTTGTAAATTAATGATTTTATTTATATATTTGGTTGTTTATTTTGGCAGCACGTAATTCCACTGTCACAACAGCTGCAGCACTACAAAGAGTACCAAACAAAACTAACAAAAGTCGCAGGGCAGTCAAAATCGGCATCCATCATAAAAGACGCTTTATACATAGTATCTGCTGGCAGTAGCGACTTTATACAAAATTACTATATTAACCCTTTCCTCAACAAGGCCTACACTCCCGACCAGTATTCATCCTACCTCGTTGGCATCTTTACCTCCTTCATCAAGGTAAAAAAAAAAAAAAAACAAATTTACTACAGATTTTAACGGTTTTAATTGGTCAAATAATTTATTTTTACGCTTTTTTAACTTCGAATTCAACTCAATTTTAATCCAACTTTAATTAAATAATATCAATCAATTAACCGTTTTTCAAACAATACTTAACCTTTAATTTACTTTTCACCAACTAACATATTTTTAATTACCTATCATTTTTAATTTTCCTCAACTTCTACGGCACATCAACTTTCATCATTTAAAATCTCACTCAAATCTTCGTTCAATCTAACTTTATTCAAAATTATCTAACCCAAATCTTCGTTCAATCAACTTTATTTAAAATTAACTCACTTTATTCAATAAATCAAATCAAAACCGAAAAAAAAAAACCCGACAACTAATCGAGTTTTTCCATTTTTTTCGAGCCAGGACCTTTACGGGCTAGGGGCGAGGCGGATAGGGGTGACCTCACTGCCGCCACTGGGTTGCCTACCGGCGGCTCGAACCATATTCGGGTTCCACGAGAGCGGTTGCGTGTCGCGTATCAACACTGACGCCCAAGGGTTCAACAAGCGGCTCAATGCCGCCACGTCGCAGCTCCAGAAGCAGCTCCCGAGCCTCAAGATCGTTGTCTTCGACGTCTTCAAGCCCCTCTACGACATTGTTGCCGACCCCAAGAAAAACGGTAAGTAATGTAATCGGTGTCCATGGTTTTAATTTTATACCCGAACAGCAGCGAATGCAAGAGATCAAATATTACCAGTTTAAAGGTTGTTTGTGTGTGTTCTGTAGGGTTTACGGAGGCGACAAAAGGGTGCTGCGGGACGGGAACGATTGAGACGACGTCACTTTTGTGCAACCCGAAGTCGATTGGGACGTGCCCGAACGCGACGCAATACGTGTTTTGGGACAGCGTTCACCCGTCTGAGGCAGCCAATCAGATTCTCGCAGACAGCTTGATCCTCCAAGGCATCGGCCTCATTTCGTGATTTTCTTTCAACAAAATGTTGTGTGTCTCTCTGCATGCAATACTGTACGAGGTTTCTAAGAGATTGTTGTTCTTACTTTTTCTTTTAAGAAAGTTTTATTTATTGGTTTTTCTGTTTCTAAAAGATTGTTGCTATTACTTTTTCTTTTAAGAAAGTTTTAATATTGGTTTTCGGGCTTTCATAAGTTTGATCTTCTTTTTACGGTTGGGATGGACTTTGATTGTTGTTTTAGTGCATTCCTACAAGCAATATATATTGCAACGAAAAGATTGTAATTAATACCAACTCTATTATATTATTATTAATACTTATTGTTAGTTTCTCAGTTTATTGCTATTTAAATATTACTATTACTCTATTAGTGTTTGTCAATTTTTCAATATCAATAGTTTCTTTTTTAATAATATAGACACTACTAAGTACTAACACACCGGTCAGAACAGTTCTAATTTAATTTTTTAGCATAGTAGTTTTTTTTTTTTTTATCTTTAAATACAAGCAAGTAGAAGAAATTATTTCAGTAGAAGTTTTTGTAGTGTTCAATTATAGTTTTTTTTAACATCAAAACTTCCTCCTGTGTCAAATTTTTTCACTTATGTTTGATACTAGCAAGAAAGAAAACTGTAATTTAAAGTTAAGAAGTGCAAATTTTAAAGAATTCGTCAGGATTAAGATGCAGGAGACAAGAGAAACCTAATTTAAAGTTAAGTGCAAATTTTAAAGACTTCGTCATAAGATGGACAAATTTAAAGGTAAGAAGTGAAAATTTCAAGAGGTTTAATTTTTTCCAAAAAAAAAAAAAAATATCAATACAAATTCAAATCTAACTAAATTTTAACTCAACCCTCATTATCCTCAGTATTATCAATATAATTAAATAATATTAATAAACCATCCTTAAAAATTAGATCAACTTTAATTCACTGTTCATCCACTCACATAATTTTAACTACATATCACTTCTAGTCACTTTTCTCTTACTTTTACATCAAATCAACTTTAATTATTTTATTTAAATATTATTTTAATATAAAATCAAAATCTCACTCAAACCTAACTCAAACTTTCAAACTTAGCCATGGTTAACAAAAAAAAATCCAAACAAAAAACAAGTCTATAAACAAGCATGCCCCGAAGATTCCCAAAGGAAAAAAAAAAAGAGATGACTTTTACGTTAACCATGGGGAAGATCGACGTAATTGAGAGTCATTCGGTTTGAAGGCTACATGAAGAACGTAAACTAGATGACAGGACGAAAAAACCTAGCATGTAGAAGATCATACCACAAGTGATTCAGCAGATTTAGATTCTCACCTTAACAAAAAAAAGAAAAAAAAAATGTCGATAGATATTAGTAAATAGAATTTTTTACCAGAAAATTATAAAAAAGTTAAGTTGTGGAAAAAAATACACAAATAAATGAGAGTGGACCATAATAAAAAACCCGTATTCAGTGAATACGTTTTACCATTTTTTTTAATTGTAAAACGTATTCATTGAATACGTTTTCTTTTGAAAAAAATTCTGAAAGAAACGTATTTAAAGAATACGTTTTCTATACAAATTAGAATACGTTTTCTATACAATTTGTATAGAAAACGTATTCCTTAAATACGTCCTTTTCATTTTTGTCCACTCCCTTATTTTTCTTTTTTTTTTTTCCACATGTTTTTTTATTTTTTTTTATTGGTAAATTGCTCTTAGTAAATAACTAATTTTACAAACATAGTCTTACCAAAAATCTTATGAATGTTCATAATAATAAAATGTAAACAAATAATAGTAATAACTAATTTTCCCAAACACAAGTTTACAAGTTGTTAAACCAAACAACAAACCCTTTCTCGAAGGCAACGAACTCATAAATTCTAAAGTATTGACACAAAATTTATCCAGAATAAAAGTTGGCACATCAACAAGCCTATCAATTTTTTCACATAAAACCACCCAACTATACAGAACCCCTAAACTAGCTAAGAAAGCCTATCAAAGCTCAAAACAACAAAAGACGAAAAAGGAAGGAGAAAAAGTCAAAAAGAACTGTAAGATGCCGATCTTCTTCGTCTTGGGAGTTCTGCATGAGACTTCTTGAGGGCCTCGGCATATTTCACCAGTTCGTTTTTCGCCCCATTTTGAGCATCTTGATGGGGCAAAACACCCGACGACAAATTACCATCGCACCCTCCTACCGATTCGAATCTTCTAAATATACTCAATGAACCATCATCACTGCTCTCACCGGCAGTACTCTTTGCACCGCACGAACAGGACCTCTGTAAATCCACAGAATTTGCAGACGAGGTCCCCGATAAAGTTCTAATCGTCTTTACGTCACTATCGGGCCCGAAATCCAAATCCAACAACCCCGAATGAGAATTGCCAGAATTTCTGCTTATATCAAGATCTTGTGTCTCAACAGGGTCATGACCGTCTTTTCCTCTTATTAGCCTCATTAGCTTCGCGAAGACTCTCGACTTGCTCGTTGGGACTGGGCCCGCTCTTCGAGGCGAAGAATTATCTAACAGCAAATCATCATCGAGCTCACACGAAGCCTGAGAATTGGACCACCGGCCAGAGTCGAAATCGGAAATATTTATCCCTTGGTCCCCGGAGCCTTCTCTATTTGCATACTCAAGTATGAGTTGTTTGGCCTTCTTTTCTGATTTCGGGCTTAGGGTTTTGCTAAGGTCCCTGGCGATGGTCTCGCCAGGGGCAGGCTGGTAATTTCTCATTTCATAGCGCAAACAAGCATTTATCCACCGGAGGTAGACGAGTTCTTCTATGTCCGAGCACCGGTTAGCATGGATTTGCTCGATTTCCTTTGTTAAATCTTCGTTTTTAAGCCGCAATAGGTGGTTCTCTTCTTTAAGGGCTTGAATCTGTGTGTATTGAAATTAACCAATTGAGCTCACTTGAGAACATATAATATCTTTTCAAAATGCAGACCCTTACATTTAAACAGATATTCTCTAATGAATGTTGTTATACTTCTTATGAAGATGCAATATGTAACATAAGATACGAATATCGTTTCTGTTTTCTTTTAAAACCGTAAAATAACACCTTGAAGTGCTACAAAGATGGCCCTTATATCCATTTGCAGTAACCAAGCAATAAATATCTTAAGAATAAATAATCCAGTTGCCTCTTGAAATTGTAAAGAACACATTGCAGAATCCGAGTGAATTAAGTAAAGATAATGGTCACAAGGAACACTTTTTTGGCAAATAAAATAAGGTGGTCTATAAAAACGCACACCCCTCGTTTAAACTTTAGTGCAACTACAAAAAGCCTTAGGTTATATTTTAGGATTGGAAAAAAAAAAACCCTTAAAGAGTTTGACAAACATCCCCTTAGTTCACATATACCTATCGAATGACCCTCCTATTAGTCCCAAAATCTCTAAAAGATAAATCAAGTTTCAAGCAATCATCTTTAACATCACTTATTATCGGGTTATCTTGTAATTAGACAGAACATCAGTACTTTAATTTACACAAAAATAAGCCAAAAAAAAAGACTTAGAAAGAGAAGGATTAATTTAATTACCTCCTTCTCGTCCAAACCGGGTGGCACAAGCATCTTCATGTACTCCAATTTATGGGTCAACTCCAAATTTTCCACCTTCAAAACCTCGTTTGTTCTCTTCACCTCCTCCAACTCTTCCTTCAAATTCTTCATTTCCTTTAACTGCATTTCTAAATCCCCGTCAACTCTCTCATTCTTTTCCTCCTCCTGAAGCTTCATAACCCTTTCTTGAAGACTCAGAATCTGCTCCCGATTATGTTCAGCTTCCGATCTGAGTTTCTTTCTCAGCAACTTTATCTTAGCTTTAGCAGCCTCAAGCTCGTTTGCCACTTTCTCGCGATCAGCCACTTGTTCCTCTAATTTTCTGTTTTCAGACTGCAAGGACTCTATTTTGAGATTATACAGTTTAGCTTCCATGTTGTGTATTTTCAGTCTGTTCTGGAGTTCTAAAATTGCTGTCTCTTGCTCTTTGAGACCGTAATACTCGAGCATTTGGATTTCCAACATTCTTTCTCGTTCTTCGAGGATTTGGACCTTATTCCTTAGGTTTTCAATCTCTAGGTTGTGTTCTTCATGCTCAACTATGTTATGTTTGTTTATAAAGTGATCGACCTCTGATAAGACGAAACCATCTCTGTCTCCATTGATGGAATTCTGAGAATCAATGATTGTAAAAGAACAAGAACAAGAATCCTTCATAAAAAAATAAAATAAAATAAACTATAATAAATAAATCTGTGCATGTAGACAGGGGTATGCACTATGCAAAGGCCTCACAGTTAATCCTATGCTATCAATCCTATCAGATGCTTTCATGTTCATGTTAAGGCCATGAACGGAAAGGGAAATGTTTTGGTGTTATCTTAATTAACCGAAGTGGAACAAGAAAGATCATGCAAATTCACGGTAAACCATGGTTATAATGTCCAAATCCGACCACACCAAAAGTAACATGTATATCCTAACAGATTACTCTCATTCCGCAACCCACATAATCCAGCAAATATGTAACCTCCAACCAGTTAGATAAAGAATCAACTTACTGAATCAATCGGCTATGAGATTCACCGATCCATACAAGAATCAATTTATAATACCACCACTATAGTTAGAACCATGTATACAATTTCAAACAGAAGAAAAAAAACCAAGATTCTTAAGTGATACCTGCAAAGCAAAGGCATCCTCGTATATCTCCAACCTTTCCCTTCTCGAATCGGCCTCGCTGTCCTTACCTACACATATATGCATGAATCAGAAGTCAAAACACATAAATTGACAAACTAATGAACAAGATAAGCTGAACAAAACCAACAAATTTTCAGACACAACTTCACAATTTTTTAAGACCCAGTAAAAAAAAGAGGCTGATAACCCCATAAAAATCTAACCTTGAGGTTTTGATTTGGAAGACTTTGTCTTGAGAAAGGTATAAACAACCCCACCAAGAGAAAAGGCCAAAGCCACCCCAAATTTGATAAGCACGGGACCTCTTGAACTTTCCCTTTTCTCTCTCACAGACATTTTTTCAAACAGCTGCAACTCCTTCAGGCGGCATAGAATTACAACACAAGATTTACCGGTTTTTTTTTTTTTTTT